TGGAGATTCAAACCCTCACCACCCTCCAGGCCTTTCGCAAAGCCCTTAAAACCTGGCTGTTCCGACAGGCCGGGAGCTAAGGAACTGTTGCCCCCGTCTCGAATTGGTATGACTGTTGTGTGTTTTTAATTATGCACTGTTTGTGTCGTTTTAATTTTTTGTTTGTATCCCCCTTCCCTGGTTGAGTTGTGAGCCGCCCTGAGTCCCCTTCGGGGGGAAAGGGCGGCATATAAATAAAATCAACATTCAACATCTGAAAACCCACCCATTTTATTGCTCGGAACAGGGTCATTACATGTCTTTTAAAAACTCGGCTACATGAGACACACATTTCAGAAACAAACTCACTAACAACAGCTGTTGAAAAAGGAAGGTAACCATTTAATGTTCTTGTTTCCAGACATAACACATCACATATGACTTCTGTGCCAGAAGGGCACAGCCAAGCAAGGCAAGGCCAGAGCTGAGGTGGAGGGATGGGGTTCATTCTGTGACTCCACAACAACAGACTGTCACTATTGTGTACATTGTGGCCTGGAGGGGTGGGCTCTATTAGCCCAGCCTTCGGTCCACTTGGCACCAAGAGAAAGTTCAGTTTTGCTGAGAGAGGCAGACCCTGCTTCTATACATATAGCAGGGGGAGGAGAGTCACGTACGTTTGGAGGCTGCAAGGAAGACGGGGCTTCATAAGGCAAATCTTCAGGGCGCCAGATACAGTTAGATGGGAGCCTCCCCACACAAGCAATGGCAAGAAGGAAGGAGCAAGAAGGGATGGGAAAGAGCTGGGACATCTCCTTGCCCTGGGCATCTTGGTTGGCTCCACCTTCAAGTAGGGAGGTATGAGTGGCAGAATTCTAGGAGTGGCTTCTTGCCCCTTTCTGCCCCTCAGAGCTTTAGCTAGGACAAATCTCCCCCTCAATACATTCACACTCCCAGGACAGGAGGGGAACACACAGAGGGGACAAAACCTCCCTCATTATCTTATCGAGGCGTCACTTGGGAGGTCATGATCGGACTCCTCTCTTTCCTCGTTTGGGGCTGATTCACAGTTCGGTACCGGAGTAAATGCAGGAGATTTTCTGAAAGAAAAAAAGGGCGGGGGTCACATGGGCACTAGAGCTAGGAGAAGAGGGAAGAGGCCTCAAAGGGGTCGGGCACAAGCATCAGGCCATAAGACAGGGCACAGGTTGCATGGAGAGACTTGGCTGAAGTGTTAGCGTGGCTTCATAACTAGAATGGACACTGTTGAAGAGCACAAAGAGGAAACTGAGGTGGGCAAGGCGGGAGGTTCATTTGGGCTCTTGCTAAGCCTAGGATTACAGTTGGACGGGAAAGTCAAAAATCTTCCCCGCCCGGGTGCTGCATTGAATCCATTGTCCCATAAGCTAGTGCAAAGGCCCAGCCGATCAGTGGTGCTTCTTTTTCCGATGAAAGTTGTCGTTCGACAGCGATTGCATCTGACAAAACTGCATCACCTTCTAGAGACACATGGCACGAAACACAACTCCTGCAAGTCTGCAAGGGTTACAGCCAATCACTCAGAATCCAGCTCACGTTTGCCATCACCCCACCCTTTGAGGTGCTCCCATAACAGAGAAGAGAACTCCAGAAGTCCATGTGGCCTGGTCTCACCCCTAGACCCTTCTGCACCTCTTAGTGGATCTAACCCCACCTCGCTCCCCACACTGTCTAGGATTACAACATGACTATACTATAGTCACCAATCCTGTGGGCACTTACCTATCTCCAGACTGGGTGATGAGGCGACGACATGTCTCCATCTGCACGTCCAGCCCACGCTTCATGCTGCACATCTCCATGTATTCATGCAGATGCCGGTTCATGTCATTCTTTGCTGTTGCTAATTCCAGCTAAATAAAAGGGTAGCAACACAGGGGATCATTCTGCCATCAATATTGGGGACATTACGCTATTTCCATTCCTCTCAAAAGAACTGGCTGTACCTATGTTGCTGGCCAGGCAAATATTCCCTTATACTACTCTGTATCCCAACTTTGTCATATACATAAATACATATACTATACTATACTATACTATACTATACTATACTATACTATACTATACTATACTATACTATACTATACTAAACTATACTATACTATACTATACTATACTATACTATACTATACTATACTATACTATACTATACTATACTATACTAAACTAAACTATACTATACTATACTATA